ATATATATATTCTTAACTATGATGCTCACAATGTTGTATATATGTTATTCTGCAATATTTGTGATGATGGTCATTATTTTGGGCGAAACTGGCGTTGATTTTCGGTCTAGATTTAATATCCACAAATCTTCTATCCGACACAATCGCACAGGTTTTCCTGTAGCAAAACACATAACTCTCCCAACCATTCTCTCAGCAACCTACGGTGTGCCCTCATATCCACTAATTTCTTCTCCCTCAACAAACGTAGACTCATGGAACTCAAACTAATTATCAGACACAAAACACACGTATCTGGTTTAAACAAGGATCTTGGTATCCTTAGTGGGTTCTCGTTTTTTAAGGCATAACTTTTCATTTCGATCCGTTTCTGTAGTTACCCGACTTTATTTTATTTTATATTTTATTTTTTGGAATTTACTCATTACTATTATTATTAGTTCCTATGCATGTAATGCAATAGGAACTATTGTAATCACTTTCACATTTCTTTTGTTTTTTATTGTGTGTAGTATGTGTTACGTGATGGCCCGTTTGGCCGCCCATAGTTGTGAGGTGACATTCCTCGTACGTTGAGGTACGCTGTTGTTGTTCAATAAAGATGATGGCTGAACAATGAGCTTGTGTGTAGCCTGACTGTATTGTTTACATATGAGTGTCTCCATCACGATACACCTGGGATTAGAAGGCAAGTATCCTAACCACCAAGCAATTCAGCTTCACTCCATCAACATTGCAGGATTTGAACCCAGGACACTAGGATTGGAAGGCAAGCACCTTAACCACCAAGCTACAGCTCCATTCCATCAACATTGCAGGATTTGAACCCAGGACCCTGGGATTGGAAGGCAAGCACCTTAACCACTAAGCTACAGCTCCACTCCATCAACATGGCAGGATTTGAAACCAGGACCCTGGGATTGGAAGGCAAGCATCCTACCCACCAAGCAATTCAGCTTAACTCCATCAAAATTCCTGGATTTGAACCCAGGACCCTGGGATTGGAAGGCAAGCATCCTACCCACCAAAGTGACAAATGCAATCAAAATACATTAGAAATAATTATACAAAAGCTTAAAATTACAAACTACCAAATTTAAATAAAAAAAGCAAAAATTTAATTTTAAACAGGATTTAAAAAAAGAAGCAATTGAACAATGCCAACATACCAATCAATAGATCAATAAATTGATCGATCAATAAATTAATAAATTGACAAATTATTTAATAAATTAAATTAATCAAACAATCAATAATCTACCAAGTAACAAATCCATAAATCAAAAACCTGTAATTAACTAATATTAACTCAAATTAATAAGTTGTTGAAACTAACATTTTTCACCATTACTTTGAAATACTGAACCATGATGTCTTGTACCACATTTTCAAAGTTTGTCTCGTACTACATATTGCTGGGCAACAAAGTTAAAGATGAAATACTTTTATCAAATTTTAATAATTTTTATTTAACAGTAATTTTGTATAGCATCTCACCTGCATTATCAACATATGTCGCTTCGTAGGAAACTTTTGGCAAGCAATATGAAGGAATGTTAGAGCAATGAAGAGGTTTGTCATGGCAGAGTCTGGATCCATTTTGTACCCTCGCACATATTCACCTAAAATAGGAAGAAAGCTAGTTGAGATGCTAGTTGCCATACTGTGAAACCTTGACAAGATGAGCTTCTTCTCGATATTAAGGGCTTCTATTGGAGGTTTTACAGCAGTTAATAATAATTATTATTTAATAATAAGCAAAGGAATATTATTATTAATTATTTGATTTATGAAATTAATTATTATTAAGGTTTCTAAATGTGGCATGAAATTACCTAGTGCATACTTGTAACTTCCCCTATGAAATGCATGATGACCATTCAACAGGGCAAGAGCAAAGCTGTCAGGGTATTTCTGTAAATCAATTAAACTTAATATTATATTAAATAAACAAGACTCTGACATAATGAAGTATTTATCTACAAGTGAAGTTAAGAATAAATTACAATCTGGATGTGCACTGAATTTAAGTACAGTTGAACTTGCCTAAATTGAATCCAGAATGGCAGTGAAAAATTGTTCGACTTACAGATTGTTAATTAAATGAAAACACAAAAAAGTTGGCATGTAAAATTAGATCAACTTAAAAATTATCCAAGTAAGGCAGAGTTGATTCAGGCAAGTTTAAATGCTTCAAAAATTGACAAGGCCATTTATTCCATATTTCACTGTTATTCATGCATAAGCAGGAATAAAAATATAATAAAAAGAGACACAGTAACAAGTTACAAGAAATCCTAATTAATATGTACATTTTAATGATGTAATTATCCAATCAGAAAGAAGTTTGTATCATGATAAGAAAGTATGACAGAGTTGCAAATCTAGATTAGAAAAAGTTATCAATGTGGGTGCATGCTTCCCTGCGGCTGTCACAGGTCTCCAGCCTAGTTTTTCCTAGTTACTAAACTAAGAAAAATAGGGACAATTTATAATTTACGTTACTTATGAATGCATGGTGCAAGCCGTATTAAAATGTACAAGAGTGATGTCAATTAAATTATAAATATTGGACGTTCCTCCTCACTTACCCCTATTGTAAGACGAAGACAAAACCGCATCAAGAACTTCATGTCATGATGTTGGGCCATTATCAATCCCAGCAGATTCCAGGGCTGCGTGTAGTCGCCATCTAGAATAATACCCACTGATTAAACAATATATCAAACCATCTGTAATTATCTTCGCGTGGTTACTATCGTAGTTAATAACAAATGATGATCATTATTGTGATTACTATCATGTGATTATATTATTCATGATGATGCTTGTCTTATGAAATATCATGTGATAATAGGCGCAGATGATGGGGGACATGTTCCCCTCCTCACTTTTTGACTGCAGTGTAATGTAATTTCCTATATCAAGAAGATGCCTGAAAATAATTCTTCAGTAGGTAAGTAATAATGTTATTATTATTGAATGATTATCATTGCTAAACCTTTCTGCAGGCATTTGTTAGATACCAGTTTGATTTTTGGTTGAGAAAATCACCACTGAGATTCGCTGCAAATATCATCATCAATTTCCTGTAAAATAAAACAACATGGATATAAATTTTTGTTTAGATTTATATAAAAGGTAAAGGTAGGACAATAACCCATAACTTTCATTGTGCTGAATTACATATGGGCGTGGTCCGTGATTAACTAGCTGCCGTAAAGAGGCGCTTCTTGGTAGATATTCACATCATTCCGCAACGACGGGGGCAGAAATGAAGCATAACATCGGGGTTAAACCCCCTATTCTTCCGAAATATGCAATGGGTTCTTTCGTCTTGTTACTGTTCCAGGTACCGATAATATACAGATTTACTTTATTATAAAGTACAAGTTATGTTTTATAAAGAAGTAGTATAGTAAATCATGTTTTCAACGCATCAAACTGACTTTAATATGGTAACTAATTAAACAATGCTAGTCCAGTGAATTAGTACTGGTACTACTGCACTGTAATGCATATACCTATTTTAATACACTACTTAGATAGGCTTTTCTTTTTCCATCTTGATTTCCGAGGTAAAAAATATTTTTCAATTTTATTTTTCAACCATATAGTGGTGTAGACTAGTCTTTTAAGAACATTTTGCTGGAAAAATTTTTTATCGATGATAAAGAAGTGATGATAGCCTATCTTGTCAGTCGCTTTGGCAATGGCGCTAAGCCCCGCCCCTTCGACCTTGCGTAAGGAAAGAAGAGGTTCTTTCTGGATGTTGGCAAAGATATACTAGAAATCAAAGATACTAGAAATACAAGATAGAGTACTCGCATTGTAAAAATGAGGCGGAAGTCGTGCCCAACGTAGGCGGCGCCCTTCTTTTTAACCATGCAAGTTTCCTATACTTCGTGCCCAACGTACAGGGCGCCCTTTCTGTTGCTAAGTATATCCAGACGCAAAAGGCGCCCTTCCTTTTCCACTTATGGAGAAAAACTTTTTCACTAAGAGTGCGTCCGGCCATGCGATTCTGCGCTGTATTGTTGTTTTATTCTTTACTGATTCATGATTATGCTTTAATTGTTTTGTGTATTATTTGGATAATAGCCACGATTTCTACCGCCACCAAGGAGGTTATGTATTCACCGATGTCACTGTCTGGGTGTCTATTCCAGTTTGTATAAATTTATATCTAGTATCTTTGTTGAGAATTGATAATAAATTACGCGACGACTTGGTAACGAAAGTTTGGAACAAGTTTTTTTAGATCCAGCTGTAGGGGGCGTCCCATTTTTCGTATTCCCACCATGCATTTCGGTGGAACACTTTTTTTTTTGTTTTTTTTTAGTATCTTTGGGAGAACTCTATCTTGTATTTCTGGTATCTTTGATGTTGGTTAGCATAGGTGTGTGATGAGTTGAATATTAGAAGGTAAATTATTACTAATTTGCTAAAGGATTATTTACCGGGTTATTTATTTATAACTATCATCATATTATGGAATCATAATATGTACAGCTAGTTCAAGGTATTCTTGAATAGTTTATTCTTTAAGGTGTATATCCTCCGGTCACCTATCCTCCTCCTCCTAGGTCGGAGGTGAAGTAAAACGTAGCAGAAAAACACTTTGTTAAACCATGGAGGAAGGAAATTTAAATTTCCTTCCTCCATGGTTAAACGCCCACCATTGTTAAACAAATTACCGTTGATTGTTACACAAAAGTATTATTTCTGACTACAGGTCTAGTTAAGAAGTATTATAATGTCAGATTTTGATTGTGATTAGTGGGGATTAGGCTAGGCCGCTAGGTATGTTAAGAAAAAAATCATCTTGTTTGGATATAATTATTGATTAAACTGGCGTCAAAAGGTCCTACATTCAAACATTATAAACAGAGTTTATTTGATTGAAATCGTGCTACTACTAGGCCCTAGGCCTAGTTAATTTTCAATAATTGTTTAAAAATTTTATTTTTCAGGAATTATGGTATAATAATATTAATAATAGGGATTAGCATAATAGAGGCAAAAAAAAATTTTTTCCAAAAAATAAGTTCGGCATTTAAAAAAAATTTTGTTCAAAAGTCTTTCTTTCAAACAAGTATAAATTCCAGAAATATTACTTCCAAAATTAACATTTAGAACATAAAATATAAAACAGACATGTATTTTTATCAAAGGCCATAGATGCACACATAAAACAAGCCCGTAGCCAGGGGGGTTCGTAGGGTTCGAACGAATCTCCCTTTTTCCTGAAGTGCCCTTTTTTGACTAAAAGTAAAGTGCTAGCCTCTACAACACAAGAAAGTTTTCCTTTTCACCCCAAACAAGTAAGGCCTAGCTAAGCTGATGATTAATATTGGCCCCCGTCTCCCAGACTGGCGTGCCTGCTTCGCTCGCAAGTGCCCTTTTATCTAAAAAAGAACCCCCCCTCTTTAATTTCTGGCTACGGGCTTGTAAAATCGGTAAAGTAGAAGGCATAATTTTGAGAACCGCGCATGACAATGATATATGCATGCAACAACAGTTCTCTCGCCCTGAGCTGTTAAGCCACTACCAGTTCTAGGTCTAGCCTACTCTTAACTACTCTTCAACTGTGGTTGGTTGAATCAAAAATAATATTCATTTGCCTTACGGTATATTGGACAAAAAAAAATGCAGGCTTAGGTTTAGCCATCGCTTTAAAGCCAATATATAGCTAGACATTTTAGTATCCGTTACGGTTTTATTTTAGGCCAGCTTTCATGAACAAAATTTTTTTCATATTTTTCTAGAAGTTTACTTTGTATTACATAGATGGCGCTTGTTTGGACATTTTCCATAGCCATAGTATGGTTTTGCTTGACCTGCCCGTGCGTGATCGTGTGGATGGATACACATATTTTTTACGTTTCTAAACTGATTTATTTTTGTTAAATTTATTTCAGTATACACTTGGTTAGTATTTATTCTGTCATTGCTTTGAATATTTTTTGTTTGGCTAGTGTGCCATCTTCTATTATGCTGCCTATGTGTCCTTAGGCCTAGGGTTTTCAGGGACTGCAGTTTGAGGCCTAAAAAAAAAACAAAAAAAAAACCGACCAACTATTAAACTTTAAAAATTGTCTTATGTATTTACTTTAAATTACCTGCTTCGAAGCCATAAACCTACGTCCACCACAGCCCCACCGTGGTTGGGACTGAGGTGGAAAAAATTGAGGAAATAGTACTGTTCCTCTAGATGGCCGGAAAAGACACTTTTATAT